AAACTCCCTAACTAGTTTATTTCTAGTAGTCGTATACTCTATGTTATGTACATATATACATATATATATATATATGCTATAAGGCAATCATTCCCATTTTTATTTCTTAATCAAATGCTTTTACATCATTAACAAGTTGGGCACTCACAAATTCTACTTACACGTTCATTTCACCGACTTGAGGTTTGACGCACTGTACTAATTCCTTTGAGAACATTCATATACATTAAAATTTAGCTATAAATATAGATAAGAATACATAGTATATGACACGCTAATTCATTTGAGATAGAGAGATCGAGGTTTCTCAAACTAAGGAAGTGTAAATCTATGTCTACAAAAATTTAGCCAAGGTTTTTTGTTTTCTCTTTGTTTGAATCATGAAACTATTATATGTGTACATAATTCTTTATACAATCACTTACAAACCAAATTTATTATACATATGTATGATACACCTCAAATAATTAAGTATATCTTGAGCACCCTTAAATAATTTCCGACTAGCTCTTTATATTTGTATATACTAAGGTGGTTGATCTAATTATTTATAGGAAAAAAGAAGAGAAGAGAAGAAAAGAAAAGAAAGAAAGCTGCTTTTTGTCTAACTGAAATAACTGGATTTAACTTTGTTTGTTACTTGGATAATAATGGGGAGGTGTACAGGCAAGCGGATCCAATTAAGTTGAGAAGGAGAAAGAAAGGGAGAGATGACAATTTAAGCTTTGGGGGTAAAGGGAATAGAGAGAATTGGAGAGGTCGGTGGTGGATGGGTGGACGGGGATTGAGAGTGACTTTCCGTCCACGCAATGAAGTTCCCTTGTAGTGGAAATAGCAAATTGGTCTTAATAATTTTATTTTATTTTATTAATAACTACAACTATCTATATATATATATATATATATATATAAACCCTCCGTATGGTTCAAACTCGTTGAACAGACTTTTGTTGGTGTCAATCTCAATCATCTGATTAATTTTAGACTTTTTAAGACACATTCTTTCTGAGTGCTTAACCCATGATCATCGACAAGTGGCATCTCTTGATTGGTTCTTTGGTATTTACTATTGGAAGGCCATCCCCTAATTTGATTATTGACCAACACACAGGCTGGCTTGAGGTTGATATATATAAACCTTTTGAAGGCTTCCTGGGTGCAAATTTTGAATTAAAAAACAATAGCTGTATAAAACAAGGAGTGGAATCGGGGATGACGAGCTGCATGGGCGCGGCCTGGGGGCGTCAAAACTCAAAATTTTCTGCCGAGGGCAAATTAAGGGGCGGGGCCGGTGGGCACCGTACGTACGTTACCTTCTTCCACTTGGCTTCTACTACTCTTTTCTCCGTTGAATCTTACATAATCAAAGAGTGCTGCTGCTTTCTTTCTTTAAATAATATAATATATATATATATTTATTAATCAAATTTTCTCATGTCACCGAAAGAGAGAGTACTTTTTTTTAGTCGGTAAACTATCTAAATACCTTTCTTTGGATGCAATCGCAAGAGTGAGCAATATGAATAGGAATTCATTAATATATACATTTTGTATTTGATATTCAAAGTCTTGAACCCTTAAACTAAACAAGATGAAGAAAATGTCACGAGAAAAAAAGGGGAAAATTAATTATTAATTATTAATTAATCTAATGGGAAGAGATGCAAGTCTTATCTCATGCTGTAACTATCAACAAATTTATAAGAGCTGCACTAAAATTCAAAGATACATTTAATCTATCATGTATATATATGGAAGTCAATAGGAAGCAGTAAAGAAGTGGAGAGAGAGAGAGAGAGAGGGAGGGACTGCTAAAGACTAAAGCAGCAGGCAATGAGGAGTGTGTATGTTGGCAGTGACAGCTCGGAATCTTTTTGGAACATTTGGATTATGAGGCAAAGGCAAAGGCAAGGCGACGTGAGGGGATCGTTCATTCCTCAATTGCCCAACTTGGAATATATCTATATCCGGCTATTTAGTCGGCACCAATTAATTAATTGTAATATTTTAATTAGGGTCATGTTCTCATGTTGCAATATGCCATTGCCAAAACCCTTTCCTGTGTCTCATCCATTTTATTCTTAATTCTTCATTTGCTACATTTTAATATTTCTTTATTACTACATATATATAAATTATTAAGCTTGCTTGCCTAAGTTCATCTTATTCCAACATGAATTTTCACATAAAAATTCCAATGAGTTGGATTTTTTTATCAAATTTCCAACTTCATTTTTCATTTCTGTATGTTTCTTCTCTCTCTTTTGATCAGTTACATTAACAAATTACTCTATATTTTCCTACTCTCAAGCAAAGGCTACATTTAATAAACATTAATTATTTCTCTCTCTTTATTAACCTTTATTTTTTTAATTGTTCTAGCTAGGGCTTGTTTTGGTTCTTTTGGAAGTGTATATGCAACCCAACAATAATATTAAAGTTAAAAGTTAATTAGACAGTACATTTGGTCAACTGCAATGCACTGTGGCTATTGGCTACCAGCATAACTAATAAAGGATTGCAGGTACGTACATTAAATCCTAAATAATAGATAAAGTTAAACATTAATTCTGACTTTCTTTTCCCGGTCCTGTTCATTGGTACTATAAGATATTCACATGTTGATGGTACAAAAGGATATCTCAAAACAAATAAATACATTAAGAGCAATTACAAAATAAGCTTTTGAAATATGTGTGTGTGTGTGTGTGTGTGTTTGTGTGTATATATATATATATATATATAGATTCAATGTCATGAATGAAGCCTTAAAACTTTTAAAACTGGTGATTATGTTAATAAATCAGGCTCACCAACATGAATGAATTGACCACACAACTTCTCTTATTGGGGAATAGCTTAGTCATCCTGATCAAACAGTTGATCTTTCACTCACCAATTTGTGCATCAGTATCTTCTAAACCTCAAAGTGATTTGTAGTTTGTGTATCGACAACTTTACCCTTTGCTTGCTTTCCTTCCTCCTTTGGTTTCAACATCCCCTTTTGCAGTAATTAACTCTTAAAAACTTATCCTGCCATTCATGTTTTGTTTGTCCAAAAGCGTAGATAATGGAGTGAAGAAAATGTGAATGAGTGACTTTGGTACTATTAAACAAATGTAAACATGCAATTTCAAAAGTAAATTTCACTTCAAATCTGTTGCTCGTTCTGTTTCTCTTTCTCTTTCAATCTTCACTCCCTGTAAGCCATGAATGTAAGGGCAGAGGCGACACGCTTGTGAATAAAAAGGCTCTGTCACCTGCTCATTCCATACCAGACAAACAACCTGTCACTTAGAAATTAAAAAAACAAACATATAACACTGAAAATATATTCTACAAGACAGATGACCTTGATTCCTTAATCTAGGATAACCACTAACCTTAATCTTTGGGGTCTAGATACCAACCTTATCCTTAAAATTCTACTATTAAAAACCACTTTAAGACCTGCTTTTTGGTTCTGATATAATGAGCAGTGTTGGTCCTACACAAAGACAGCCTTGGGGCGAATCTGTTTGTTACACACATCGTTAGTCCCTTAAAGACTTGACTTCCACGGTTCCACCATCGGGTTAAAAGAAAAGAAATGCATTCAGACAGGACATCCTTAATCTTGAAACAGAAACAGAGATCAGATTCAGCAGGACTGCCCGACGAATCATGCTCCAAGACAAATCTTGAGTGCAAGGTTTTTGCTATTGGTAGTTGATCAGTGCAAATCTGAGGCCTCATCCTATAGCTTCTGAGTAAAGGGAAGATTCCATGACAATGTCCCACTAGGCTATGATATTATGCAGCATGATTGGGCAGTAGACCAACTATTAAGCAAGCTAGTCCTTCAAAGCTGATTGATATGGAGCAGTTAATCCTATTAATGCCGACAACAAAGCCATCAAATCATAGATTAAAATATCAAGAATATCAGGAATTGTGGCTGGAGTTGTTTAGGACCTCACTCAAGTTGGAGTATAAAATAAACGTCCCAAATTAAGCAAGGTTTATTTCATTTTCTGTTTTATTTTGAGTATCAAGAGAATTAAGCCTTGGGGCTAACTGTGAGGCCTATTTCTTTTCTTGCTTCAATTCTGTTCTGTTCCAGACTTTCAGTTAACAAATTAACTCTAAATTACCCTCCATCAACCAAACTTCAAATCCAACACGCAGCAAAGCAACTATGAAATTTCTCAATCCTAACCCTTAATAGCAAGTACATTACACAGGCCTGGGGCAACACCTGAAAAGCTTTCCAATCCCCTAATAGTTTCAACCAATCTTAACCACATACAAATCTCATTCAAGGCCCCAGTTTGTCTCAAAACTTATCATCCCTATTACCTAAGTTGATCCAAGAATAGAGTCTAGACCTAATTTTCCTGCTTGGACAAAATAACTACCAAGTTCTTGTCAATTTGTGGCCACACCCCCCCTATCCTTGTCCAACATCACCTATGATTGGGGGAACTGCACTGAATCATTGGACCTGACCTTGATACCATCAATCATAAGGCTAATAGGTCATGATCCACAAAGCCTGAAAAGGACCTTTGCCGGTCAGGGGCCATGAACTCCTACAATTAGTGCATCAAAAGGAATTAAGAGCAATCTACTTATCCGGGATCAATACAGACAATGGCCTTTAAGGGCCACCAGATCTTTCTGAAACTCCATGATGTTGAATTGAGATGAGGCAGGTTATAATGATCAAAGCACAATTCCAAAACAATTAAATAGTTCTAACTAACAAGTCTTCTCGATTCCTTTGCTCTTCCATCTATACAATGAAACAGTACAGAACTTTTCATCCCATTAATTCTCTTCCCCTTCTCTCATTTGCTGCTACTCGTAAAATGAATTTGAGAAATTAACCACAAAACCATTCTATTTATGTTACACTCCACTGCCCCTTCCTGTCTTATGTCTGATATCGCATCTTAATGCACATTACCAGAATTATAGTTGACGGAAACTCCTCTTTGTGCATGCCAATAGTGACAAGCAATCATGCCACTCAAAGAACAAATAAAAGACAAATCAATCAATAATCAACATTCTCATATTCTCACAACCTCAACCTTTAATTCATTACACCTTTTATTAAATATATTCATTATTCATCTTTTCAAGTTCAAGATATTCCAACACACAATAAGCAGCTCATGTACCAACATAGATGAGGCACATACTAGATTGGTTTTGAAATAGAGAATAAATCTAAATGCATTGTCACACTGCAGTTTTGCTCTTGTTAATAACTATATACCATTTCAAATTTCAAGGAATCCCTAGCAAACTCTACACTATCAAAAGAAAAAATAAAAATACAGTGACAATTTGAGGTAGATATATACCACTTGCAAATCTGACAACAGTGAAGAACCACACTGGGCAAATACCACCATTATGATTCTCAACTCTCATTAAACAAGCAGCAAAGCTCACTGTTCATATAAATTCTAATCTTTCCCCATCCTCCCTAGTAATTCATAAGTTACAATTACTGACCTCCATAACAAACCACACTTTCCTCATCAAAAATACCCATCTTCCTCAAAAATCACCTCATCCTCACTATCTTCCAACAAATAACCTTCATCATCAGCATTCTCAATCTCCCACTCATCCTCATCACCCTCCTCCCCTTCTGAAAACACCGAAATCCTCAAACCACCAAGCTCATTCCTCCCTACCACAAGCTCATTTACCAACCCATCCAATTCCCCCAAACTCCGACTATCAAATTCTGAAACCGAAAACGACCCATCCTCCCTCCTCCTCCACCGCTTAGGCCCACAAATCTTTCTCCGTAACCTCCCCATTTTCCACCCCTACCAAGACACCCAGAAATGAGCATGTCTCCCCAAACCCCTGTCCCTATCCCCTACAACCACAGTCCCCAAATTCGCCTCCCTTGCCCTCCTCAACATCTCCGTAAAATCCTTATCATCCGAAACCAAAAACAACCAATCAATCCCTCTACTCATAGATGCTGCATTTGCTTTTCAATGCCCAATCCGCCGCTTGTGGCTTATCCTCTACTGTCTTAACATAAACCCCAGCTCTCCTTAACTCACTCGCCAACCCATACCCAACCTTCGGCGTTACCAAACTCCTTGCCGCTTCATTGTACTTGTAATTCCCACTTATATACCTTCTTTAAACCGCTGTCGTTTCTTACCTTTCAACGATTTCATTCTGTTTAACTTCTTTTGTCGTTCCCTTTCATGTAACTGCTTGAAATGTTTTCTCAAATCCAGATTTGTCTTGCATTTCCGACCGCAAACTCCACAGATGTAAGGTTCGGATGGAGTCACGATTCCTTTGCGTTCGAGGATGTCGAGGTTTTTCCTCTTGCGGCGTTCTTGCAGGACCCACTGAGGCAAATGAATAAACGCGTGACGGTTAGCGTATGCTGACATGTCAACGATTTCTCCGAATTTTTCAGCCACCTTTTTTAAGGCCACAGCGGCTTCGTACGGCGGTCCGCGCGGTGGCTTGTTGTCGAGGTCCCACAAGATAACAACTTTTTTCTGCTTGGGAGCATAAACGCCTTGCTTGTTTCTCACCATGTCGATTTCCACGGCGTTGGCGTTGGAGGCGATAGACTTGATGGTGAGATGGCATAGGCGCGACGGGGATTTGGTCTTGAAGGGTGTGGGGAAAGCGGGTGAGAGGAGAGGGAAAAGTGGAGGTCTCGTTTGCTGAGGAGTGGGGCGGGGTCTAGGTGAAGGATTTTAAGGAATTGCAGAGAGGATTCATTGCTTCATTTGTAGGATTTGCTTTGTATCCGCTTTCTGTTGTTTTGTTCTTAAGTGCAGTGAGGTGAAGTCCGGGACTGATTGTTTTGCTGAAGGTATTTGGATAAGCATCGGTCTTATCTAAATATCAACAACCAGCTAGCTGTGGGCATTTTTGGGCCTGAATTTAGGGCTTTTCAAGAAATTGCAGATCCAGAGATGTACGGGCCTATTGCTTTTCTTTTTTACTTGTAAAGAAGCAATAGTATGGGCTTTCAACTTCCCAGTTTAAGCAGAAGCAGAGTAGAGGTACGTCTGCTATTTCATCACTTGGGATAGATATAAGTCGAGGGGAAAAACAGAAAGGAGCAAGGAAACCAATGGAATTGGATAAACATGCTGACTCTTGAATTCTGCCAAAAGAATGTTGGATTTTGCGCTGCTGCAAATTTTGACGCTGGGACACGTCACTTTTGTTTCTCAGGTCCTATGGTTATCACCCCAGCAACTCTGCACCCAATCATTCCTAGTGTGCACGACTGTCTGCAACAGCATAGACAAATAAGATAGTAAGAGCTCTTAGTTAAATGGTTTGCCTGGCAAAGAAAAAAAAAGTTGTAGTTGCAGTTAATAATCACCATGCTGGCTTTACATTTTCTCTTTTCTTTCACTTTCTCTTTTTCAACTCTGTCATTGACGAGGCTATGGGGGAAGAGAAAGAAGAACTGTTTGATAATTGACTTCATCAAAGGTCTATTTTCAGCTTTTAGCTGCTCATTATTTTTCCGATGCTTTTCTCAGTTAACTAATCTTTTTCTCTATTCTGCACTTTAGTGCCGCTGGTAAATTGAATAGACATAACCCTCTCCTACACAAATATTAACCTTATTCTTTTACAATAAGCAATGAAAAATATAAAATAAAGCCTAAACTTTTTGGAATTGAATTTGATTTTCTGGCCATTCACAATTTATTTATGAATGGTATAAGTTCACTTTCAGCAACTGTAATTCTGATGTGATCTACAACATTGTTTTCTACTTTGACAATTGTGAGCATCTATGAGAAAGTTTAAGAGTTTAAGATGCAGCGCAGCTCCACCAATCCTTAAGCTTCAAGCATCACCCTGAAATACAAGTGGCATCTTATCTTTTTCCACAAAGACATGGCAACCACCTTTTTTCTTCTTCTTTTGTTGTTCTGCAATTTGGAAAACAAGAACTTTCTCAAATCTTTATGGTTTCTTGTACCCAAAAAGAAAAATCTTTATGGTTTCTCTTTAATGATTTTCCCCTTGAATTATGGCAATTATCTTTGGAATTATGACCAAGACTTTTGTCAACTATTACCAAACAGGATGATTATTAAATTGATGATTGCTTTTATGTTTTATTCTGATACAGGGGGTGAATGATGGAGCATTAGTAACTATACTTTAGTGGGGCTTCTGCAGTTGAGTTATTGGCTTTAATTCTCTCACTCTGTTTTGGGTGGTTCTAATATTGACATCCACTGTGAAGTCCTTTAGTGCTTGGTTCACCCCCAAAATTAATAGCATTAAATGAAATAATTATTTTTGTTTATATATGTTCAGACAAAAGGTCGACATAGATTTTTTCTTTTCTTTTAAAAGAAATAAGAAAGAAAGAAAGTAAAAATGGTATTTTGATGGCTATCCAGGAATATGGAGGCCTCCCACTACTTTGCAGATGAAACATAATTTGGCTGGCAAATGACAGGGAAAGCATACAAATCACAATCCCTTAAGATAAGAGTTTATGGCCAATATTGCTAATTTAAGTAGCTATAATTAAATAGATATAGAGTGCTAGAGTGGCACCTAAGATGCCTAAAACAAATCAATCACTACCTTAACTTAAAAAATTTTGAACCTCAAACAGAAATCCCATACAAAAATGAGAAAAAAATCTGAAGTCCCCACCATCAGAGTAGGCTTGGCCAACATGGCCAACACAGCCCAAGCAGTGGGGCCCCCACCTCCCCCTCCCGTTGTGTCCTGGATTAGATAGCCTTTTTTTTTTCTCTTTTTTTTTTTCCAGGCCTGGAGATCATGCCTAATGAGACAAATTTTCAATGTGGAATGTTATGTTTTTTCCTTCTCAACCAGAAGGAAAACGTCAATAAACTATTTCAGACAACTTTTATTTAAATACAGTGAAATAAAACACATTTTTAATGTATGTTCAATGTTCAAGCAAGTTCTTGCCGAGGTCTCAAAAACTCCTTTGTTTATACAAGAAAAAGGAAAGAATTTGCCTTTTTTCCTGCATACATGAAATGATTGCGTTTGCATAGAATTCCAGCCGAGTAGATTTTACATGGGATTAACTGTCAAGTCGACAAAAAACTACCAACACGTACATATCAAAAAATCATGTTCCTTATTTTCCTGCCACGTTTCTCGAACTCTTGTTTCACATGCTCCGCCTTTGCTCGAGTCCCAAACGCTGAATTGTTCTCCTGAATCCAGATATCGGACAACATACAGTAAAAACAATGAAAGCGGCCCCCAATGAGAAGTTGGACTTGTGGCTTTCTAGAAGGCCTTACAGTTTTGCAACTTACGAACAAGCTCTATAGCCATCCCTCCGCCCCCTCTCCCCCTCTCTCTCTCTCTCTCTCTCTCTTCTCTCCTTTGAAAACAAAAAATGAATCAATAAACGCGTTTTTTAATGAGGAAGAATTGTCGGTTCACATTAATTAAAGAATGGACCATAAGTAAAGGAAACGTTAATGCCCATATATCCCACGAAATGGTTCCTCTCCTTTACTACTTTACTGTTTGCTTACACCATCGCTCCTGCCTTTCTTGAACCAGTCATAGTCCACGCTTGCCTTGCCGTCTCTTTCTCCTTATAGTTTCTTCCTCTTCTTCATTAGCCTTTTATTCACGAAATACGTTTTCAGGAACAAAAACCAAGCAGCCGTAGAGAATAACTAATACAGGTTGAGAAAAAGAGATGTTGAATGGAAAAATGTGGCGGCGGTGGCGATGACCATCGGAATACTTGTGACCCTTTTGGTTGTGTTTATATGGAGGTGGTGTTACCATAAAGAGCGTAAAGATGATGTTGATGAGAACCGGGCTGCTAGGATTGAAAATTTTCAAGACGGGATTGCTAGACTTCACCAGGCGAGTCTACATCACCAGTTTGATTTAGATAGCAGGAGAAGAGGAAATTACTATGTTTTTCGACGTGGGGCATCGGCAAAACCTTTGTTTAATTGGGCTGATCATCCAGCTCTTATCACAGATGCAGTTGAAAATGGATGGTCTCGATTTGGCTTCACAGGCTACATGTCATCCCCGTCTACAAGATCAAGCCTGTTGGGGCTATGTGCAGCTGGTGATTATGAAGAGGGAAATGATATAGAGATAAACTGGGAAGTATGTCAGGGATCAGCAGATTTCATGCAAAAGATTAGGGTGAATTCTGGGTCAAGGAAGGGGACTATGGGTCATCATTCTATGGCTGCAGCATCTGTTATTAGAACAGCTTTGCCTTTACCGGGGCCTCCTTTGGGGAATTCTGCTTCCCTCAAGAGGCCTATTTCGAGATCACGATTTTGTATTGCCGTGGAGATGATCATGACTCGAGAGGCAAGCTGAAGGAAGGTGAGAGGACAAAACTCATCCAAGAAACTTACAATGCAAAAGCAAATTCAGAATCTTTAGTCCATGTTATTAGCGGTCATGATATTAAAATTGAGGAATTAAAGCTTGCAACTAAAGATGATGATGGCAAAGGTGATTCAGTGATGTTATCGGTGGGACTAACTGCGGGTGGCTCTCTTCCTTTGAAGCTTCCTGGTAGCTATCCAGGATCCATCGGTTTCAATTCGGATGGTTCTGTCTATCTAGACGGTAACAAATTTTCTTCAATATTATTTTCTATCAAATCTCTAATTACCATTTTTTTTTATGTAAATGTCGATTAAGCACAGTCCATTTATAGATGAAATAGTAGTTCACAAGTTAGAACTGTGCCTAGCAATAAAAAAGTGGCAACCCGCCAATGAATAAAGCTCTCATGCTAAAAGGTATCCAAAATTAGCCAGAGCCTCGAAGTAATTGAAAAAAAGGCCCACTGCCACATGGTCATGAATTATGTATAGGGAAGCATTATTTTATTATTTTGGCTAAGACCACTTAATCAGTTAATCGTGCCACCCTTCACTGTATCGGGAGTAGGTATGAAGCTATTGACTCAAAAAAGATGTCTCAGATGCCTCTAATTTATTGCTGTATTATCTGTACCAATAAAATTTAGGCTAAGCTGTTCAACTTTCTTGGTTCTAAGTCACTTCTTTATGCAACTTCTTTCCTTCTCTTTTTGAGTTGTGATCAGCACGGTCAAGTCTTCAACCCGTGCTTTATTCTATTCCAGGAATTAAACTTGTGTTTGGATCTGAGAAAGAAGACTGGGGGAAAACAGAGAAGGTGATAGGTTGCGGTTTCGATCCTAGGCAAAAGAAAGTGTTTTTCACATTAGACTCCGAGCTGGTACATGTAATAAATTGCAAGTCTGAGGAATATGGGACTCCCCTTTATCCATGTCTTGCAGCAAACGCTGATGTTTTGGTTCTAGTTAATTTTGGACAGAGCGCCTTTGCATATGCTCCAGCGAATGGACAACGGACACCAAATCCATGCTTCATTGGCCCTCTTGTAAATTCCCCTGCTGCTGCTCTCGGCTATGAAGACAGCAAAGAGCTATTTTCTATGGGAAGAATCGATTCCCAATGGCTTAACAGATGCACAACTAAAGGCAGCCACAACGTTGGCAATAATTATCCAACAACAGATTTTGATGAGGAGTCTGAGGCTGATTTGTTTGAGATCGTCTTGGATAACAGCGGAAGATCCCCCAACGCAGTATTGTAGCTACAAGACTGACAATTTTTGGCAATGAGTGTCTCCAAGTTATCTCGGTTTTGGCATTGAATGAAGTATTTCTTGTGAGAGTGGCGTGGATTTTGTGTACATGAACACACGCTAAAGTTTCAGTAGGAGAGAATAGTTGAACCTCTGCAATATTTAGCAGCTTGTTCATCTTCAAAATACCTAGACACAAACAGGTTTTATGAGGAATTGAGAAGGAACATACTTGCATTCTCTTTAAGCTTTTACAATGCGCGCCTAACCTTTGGCCCTGTATAGTTTTTTACGTGTCATGATATGTAATTTACTTTGTATAGAATCAATAACATTTGTTCATTTTTGCTTCTCTTTGCCCATATTTTACGCTCAAACTCCGTAACATGAGCGTTTTGGTGTAGCAAAACTGAACTTACAGGATCGTTTAATGATTGTCAAAAAGACAAAAAAGAAGACGGAGCAAAAGGAAATAAAGAAGCAGAGAAATCTCCTGGAAGGGCAAGAGGCAAAAAGATGAGATGCCAAGTATCAGCCTCACCCACCGTTAAATATACACAAAACAAAGAGGAGAATACATATTGTCAAACATGCTAGTGCCGCGTCAAATTTTTGTTGGTGAAGGGGTCAAAGTTCAAGATTAGATTGTTTCAGAATACAAACATTGCATGCTCCCAAGTCATGGAATCATCACATTTATTATAACATCAACCACAACTTGAGAGAAGTCTGCACACTCAAAACTCCACATCCAAGGTTGCTTGCTTGCTTGGAAGAATGTCAAAAACCCACCATTCAACCTACGACAGCTGCGTTGCAGATGAAAACAGGCCTGCTATATATCATTGTTTGAAAATGGACTAGCCGTAAGTGCAAAAGATGTGGATTTGACGATTGTATATTTCTATATTTGGGCAGGAAAGCAAACAAAAATATATATGCTCATGATGACAGAGAAGAAAAGAATATATTCTATTAACTTAAAGATTGAATTCTGCAACAAGGAAATTGCAAAAGAAGACTATATATGTTTATGGCTATTTTCTTGTTCTCTTCTAGAGTTTTGAAATGTATGAGCAAGGTAGCTATATGGTTCTATCAGGGGAAATTTGTCAAATTTCTGCTTTAGCAGATCAGTGGTTGAAGTTTTTGGAAACTTAGGGTGGGTTGACTTGAATAAATAAATAATAATAATAGCGCTAACAGTACACTAACGGTCCCTATGGGCGAACTGAGCCATGGATTAGATTATATACCTTTTTGACCCGTAAAACGCAACAAGAATTTTCACCCAAAAACAAAAACTTTCTCGTTTGTTGCTTCTTAATTCGAATTTTCTTTCTTGGGTCATGCTCAAAGTTGCTCCACATTATCCAAATATTTATATTCATCTAATTACTTCTTGTGCTCGAGTTTTAGCAGTCTAGCTTCCTGCCCTCAAGCTGCAATAATAAAATATTTACTTGTTTAAATATTAAATCATGATACATCAATTAAAGCCTTTATATTTCGATAAATATTCTTCCCACGAATTTTTTTTTAATATTTTATTTTGAATTATTGATGTTTATACTAGTACTTTATAAACAATCCAAAACATTTTGTTAAACAAAAATTTTAAAAGAATCCATATCGTATCCTGTTGAGATTTGCGGAGTGGGCAACATGTGTGGCTGTCGTCTCAATACTATTCCACGCCACTCTGGTCTGGTATGCTGCTTTAAAAGCTTCCATCCGTTGGTAAAAGGCCTGTAAAGAATATATATCAGTTCCAGCACTTAACCTACTCTTCCTGCACTTCCAAGACCCCACGGCTATGATATGGCTGTTTTAACCCAATGGCCTTGCCCCCCAGGCTATGGCTGTTTCCTCCTTTGAGCCCATGGAAGCAAAAGCGATTCAATTTCAATTAAACACCGCTGCCCAATAAGGCATATGGGCCTTGGGGATGAACAACTGTCCTGTCCTTCAACCTAAGAAGCAAATTCGTGGAGGGAAACAGTGGAAGGGCGGACAGGTACCTAATTTATCAGCTTTAATTTGCTACCCAACGAGATGTCATATTCAGATGATGTGTCACCTGAATCCTGACTAGGCAGGGGCCAGGGACTGTGACACCACGGTGGGCATCGTTACCTACAGTATTGGAACCAAAGGAAGTATCCACGCCATTACTGTTGTTATTCATCTTAAAGTCCAATTGTCCCAAAAAGAATGCACCAATTAGTGGTAGGTAGCGCTGTCTTTAAGAGAGATTGTACAGACAACATCAACAATGGACCATTTCATTCAATGGTTGGGTCCTATTGCCTCGTGAGTCCATGACTTCGGCATCCATAGCTTGAATCAAAACTATAGTATGTTAGAGCCACTAACTTAATCAGGTTATCCTTGAATATTTTTTATTCTTCCAGCTCCTTGAAGCGAATCCAAACGGGAGAACACGTATCGCCGACATAGTCCACCGGTTCCAAGAGAGGTAGGCCACCATATGCTTAAATGTGACTCTTAATTGACCCGTTATTATGGCTTCTATTTTTAAGGATGGTTTACCAGGTCCTTTGGTTTTAAGGTGTTGATGATACCTTAATATCAGGGAAACAGCCAATTTTCTTTTACCTTTGACATTAGAGTTAGAATTTTTTATTTTTACCTTGAATTTTTCAATCTCTACGCAAAACCTCTGTCTTCCAATTTGAGAATCCACTATGGGAACAGAAGATGGAAAAATACATGCAATGTTTCTTCCCTACATGGCACCAGGCCACATGATGCCAATGGTAGATGCGGCCAGGCTATTAGCAGCAGCTGCTGGCACCAAGGTCACCATAATTGTCACTGCCATGAATGCCCTTCGCATCAAAAACGCCATTGATAGAGATGTCAAATCTGGCCATCAGATTTCACTTGAAATTCTCTCTTTCCCTGGCGCTCAAGTCGGCTTACCTGAAGGCTGCGAAAACATGATATCCACCCCAACACCAGAAATGTCAATGAAACTATTCCATGCCATTGAATTGCTGCAACCAAACATTGAAAAGCTTTTCCGTGAATACCACCCTGACTGCATAATCTCCGACAGTCTCTTCCCATGGACTTTGGATGCTGCCAATTATCTTGGCATACCAAGGATCGCCTTTAATGGTAGTGGATTCTTCAATCTTTGTGTCACTGACAGTATTATACGTTATCAGCCTCACAAGAACGTCAAATCCGAGACAGAAGCGTTCGTTGTTCCAGGACTTCCAGATGAAGTAAAACTCACAAGTTCACAAGTGCCAGACGTTTATAGAACCAGAACTACCTTCTCTGAGTTATTTGACAAGCTAAAGGAATCCGAGAGGAATAGCTTTGGGGTGTTGATGAACAGCTTTTATGAGTTAGAGCCTGCTTACGCAGATTATTGCAAGAAAGTTATGGGAATCAAGACTTGGCACATTGGCCCTGTATCTCTCTATAATAGAGATGCTGATGATAAAGGTGAAAGAGGGGACAAGGCTTCTGTTTCCAAATACGCTTGCCTTAGTTGGCTTGATTGCAAGAAACCCAAATCCGTTCTGTACATCTGCTTTGGAAGCCTAACCAGATTCAGCAAAAATCAAACGACAGAGATTGCTTATGCACTTGAGGCTTCAGGCTACTCATTCATATGGGTTGTTGGGAAAGTCTTAAAAACAGACGATGGTGATTGCAGAGAGCAACAGCAAGAATTACCAGAAGGATTTGAAAACAAAATGAAAGAAAACGAACAAGGATTAATCATAACAGGATGGGCACCCCAAGTGTTGATACTTGATCATCCAGCTATTGGAGGTTTTTTGACGCATTGTGGTTGGAACTCTATACTCGAAGGAGTTAGTGCAGGTGTACCATTCATCACATGGCCGATCTTTGCAGAACAATTCTTCAATGAAAAGCTTGTGACTCAGGTGCTAAATTTTGGAGTAGCGGTGGGCAATGAGTTTTGGAAAGCTTGGGCAACAGAGGAATCACTGTCCATAAAGAACAGAGATGATATTCTTAAGGCGATTGATGCGGTTATGGGCAATACGGATGAGGCAACAGAGATGCGCAGAAGAGCAAAACGACTTGGAGAATTGGCAAAGAGAGCCATTGAAGAAGGCAATTCATCATACAATGACGTGAAAAATTTGATTGAGGATATCAGAATGTACAAATCAGGAATTAGTGGCTGAGCAAAGCTTGGAGAATTACAGAAGAAAGATGATGAAGGCGGCAATTCATCTTGAAGACAAGAAAGGTTTGATTGGGGATGTCATATCGTACAAAACTAACTAATGCGTATTTTATTTCTTTTCTTTTCTGAGACTGGTAACAAAGGAGTTTTAAGTAATCAAGGGTAGCATAGAAGCCTGCAGATGTAATAAGGTTTTCTGTTGATAGAATACGCACTGCATTTTTTTGGGACTCGACAAAAATTATTCCTTGAAAGGTTTGTGAACTGCTATGTAGAAAAAGATTTGGAGCTATTATGTCATCTTTAAGAAAGGAGCTATGTAGAATGTCCTGTTTGATAAAAATTGTATAAAGATAACGAATTGTCACTTCAATAAAAGCTCTGATTTTCTCTGTCTATTACCAACAGCCAAAGAATCCCCAACAATATGAGCACACTTCAACCAGGGAGGTAAA